TATATATATATATATATATATATATATATATACTCCTAGTATCTCTTTCAATATATTACACGATCCTTTTATACTTTTCTTTTTTAAAATGAATTTGAAGAATTACCCCCCTCATGATCAATATATATAATCTGATGGGATTGATTTTGTTTTCAGGAGCATTGGGCTAATATTTGCCAAAAGAATAGTGTGTCATAGGTTTGGGGTTGAGAAACAATCGACAGTGATAGATTGGGAGGTCGTAGGCTCGTGTCCAATGCTTTGAAAACAGCTCAAAGGCAAAGTACAAAAAAATTGTTCAACATGATTGCTAGGCAGCTAGCTAATTTTGCCATTTTTTGTTTGAGTTTTATGTAAAATTGTCAGGCAAACTTTAATAAATTAGTGAATTGTCAATTGATCACTGTATAGAGTTTTATAACCTTTCAATTGATGTAATTTATGTAGGTGGTAGATGTGAGAACGTTATGCAGAAAAATGTGATGTGATGCTAACATAAAGCGGTTTATATATGTCAATTGTCAAATATCAAGTCCACGTAACTTGTTCAACTCCATTATTAATTAGTCTCGGATACAGCATTTGGTGACATAACAAATACAAATACATGGAGCTCTTACAAGGGGGTTCAGGGATTTGCAAAAGCAGAATTTTGTGAAAAAAAAATATATACAAAATGAGAAAAGGGTAACAAATTTCCATACTAAAAATGTCATCTCAATAATATTTAACATTGTTAGTTTATAACCTTTTTTTTTAATATCAAAGAGAGATGAAATACTTCTTTTTATAAATTTTTTAATATTAGACAAGGATTGTGTTATATATAAAACCAATAAAATTTGTCTTATTACCATAGAATTTGGATTAAAAAAGAAAAATAATTATTTTCTTAAAGGATTTATATTGGTAAGGTTGTTGGGCATGATGCTATTTCAATTGAATTTTAAGAATTTGTAGAAAATCAACTAGGTATCATATTCCTCACTAAACTACTTAATGACAGTTTGAAATGAAAGAAAATGTAAATAAAGGAGGAGCACTTTTGTTACTGAAATTTGAGAACAACAGGAATATTCAAAATTGTGCTAGTTATGGAGGAATAAAATTTATGAGCCATATGGTGTTAAAAAAAAATATTTATGATTCACATAGAAAAAATTATGTATCGTGACAGATTAAGAGAATATAATAAAATAAAAGTATATAATAGATGCCATTTTATTAGTAAAATTTAGATAAAATAAAATGAGTCAGATGACTTAAGTTGACTTGACTTGTCCAACAAAATAAGTGATTCCTAAAAATTTGGGTTGGGTTAGGTAGGTGAAACCATTTAATACCACTGCTTGTATAGATAATAATGGCATATTTGTTTCAATATTTTAAAAAACCTTCTATTATTCTGTAAAATAAAAACACACTCACGCCTTTTATCATTGGGGTAAAAGGTGATAATGACACATTCATTAGAAGTAGATAAGGGACAGAGTGAGTATTAGGTTAGGATTAATTGTGTCCAATGCCGCAAGGTGCAAAACAGTGAATAGTAGTTTCGTTCAAGTAACCTTTTATAATTGTAAAATACAAATCAATGCCATTAAAATATCAGTATTAAATCAAATATTATAATAACAATATATGAGTTTAATTTGTATCCACTTTCTGGATATAAATTTTTTTATTATCAATTATTTAAGAATTATTATTATTATTATTATTTTAAAAATAATTATTGTTAAAATTAATAATTTTATTTATAATTAAATGATAATATGAAATTCTTTTATATTGTGAAAATATAATTTAAATTATAAAAACTAAAAAGTAAAATAAGTGAAATTATAGAGAATACATACATTCTATTATAATTTTAGAATGCATTTACATAGTGATTTTCAATTTCCTTTTATTATGGAAATTATTTTTAATTTCTATAACTAATATCCTAAAGCATTCATTAATAAAATCCTTTATAATTTTACCCGTGCCCACACTAAGCATACATAAATATGATAAGCTAGGGAATGATCTTCCAGCAGTGAAAAAAAAGATAAATAATTAAATAGAAACAATAAAAAAGGCAATAGTTTAAAAAAAATCAATAACAATAAAACTATATTATTAATTATTTGGTTTTAAAAGTGATAATAAGTTCAAGAATATGTCGTTTCCTAAAGACAATTTGGTTCTAATTGTTAACTATATCAAAACAATTATTTTTTTTTGTGAAAATCTCAAAACAATTAATTTCTCCTTATTTTTCAATAGCCTATAAAAACTCTTTAATTGTTTTTTTTGACAGATCATTAATTATTTTTTTATTGACAGATAACTCTAGTCCAATTTTTAATATTTAATCTACTAAAATTAAATCTAGCATGCAAGCTCAAATTTATTTTAATTATATTCACAAAATATAGATGAAATGTCACAGTTTGAATCTAACTTTTCTAAAGTAAAGAAATTATACTCTCAAATCATGTGTGATAATAATTATTGATTAAAAAGTTAATATTTAATGTTACAATTAATTTTAGATTTTATTTTATAAAAATTTTATTATATCATAAATTTTATAATCTAACAATTGTGAAAGGACTTTTTCACTTTAGAATTATCAAATTCTACAAAATTATTGTTTAACCACAAATTATAATGATAAAAACAATTATGAATTTATCGTCCTAATTGGTTTTACATTATCATATGGATAAATGAGTTTTTTTCTTCTTCTTTGGGATGTAACATGATACCAGTTTGATAATAAAAACAACAGATATATAAATGGCAAAAGATGAAAGGTACAAAATAGTAATTAGATCACAAATTCACAATAGCTTAGTTCAGGGTGACTTCTTGGAGAGCACAAAAATAATGTGGGAAACTGGGTAGGAAAAGAAAAGAAAACTCTTCCCATCACAAAAGAGACAAAATAAAAGTCTCTTACAAGATTTCCCTTTTTGGTACATTTTTTTTTCTCTCTTTATAAATTGATATAAACTTTTTTTTATAGATATAAATATTTTTAAAGTAAAATCTCAAATCGTAATAAAATATTCGTATTAAGTTATTAGTTTAAATAGTATTTAACTAATTTTTTTAAATAAAATATTAAATTTAAGTCTAATATATGAATAAAGTGATTAATCAAGATTTTTGTTAAATATTGGTGAAGGATTTTTCCATAAAGACTAATACAATATAAAAATTAAACACTATAATTAATTTATTTCTCTATTAAATTCTGGCTATAAAAATGGTAAATAAAAAATACTACCTTTTTAATTAAAAAAAAAAGTAAAATTTAATTTATTTAGGAGTTAGAAGGCACATTAAAATGGCCACGTTCTCCACCACAGAGAAAATAGAAAAGAAAAGGAAGTTGAATGCGAATCCCTCCATCGCATCGCATTTGCATTTCAATTCTCTTTCCTTTTCTGCTTCGATCTCTCCGTCGTCACACCCAACCAGATCGAATCCGAGATGAGCACCGGTGACCTTCTCAGCATCGAACCTCTCGAGCTCAAGTTCTTCTGTGCGTTCTTTTTTCTCTTCCTCTTCCTCCTCTTTCTCTTCTCCTAGGGTTTCATTTCAATTTTCCTTCTCTTTCAGTTGAGCTCAAGAAGCAGATCTCATGTTCTCTTCAATTGTCAAACAAGACCGATAGCTATGTAGCCTTCAAGGTAACATCATTTCATTTCCCCTGCCTCTTGCCAGATTTGCATCTTTAATTTCGTGGTGTTTATGTAGGTGAAAACAACGAATCCCAAAAAGTATTGTGTTCGTCCCAACACCGGAGTTGTGTTGCCACGATCTACATGCGATGTTATTGGTAGGTACCAATGCGAATTGAATAATCTGAATATATTATTTTTCTTTGTTTAATTTATTATTGTTAATCGGTGGCTTAGTGATAAATAATTTGGTTTTTTCGTAGTTACCATGCAAGCGCAGAAGGAAGCTCCGGCTGATATGCAATGCAAGGATAAGTTTCTTCTTCAAAGCGTAAAAGTAGAAGATGGAATCACCGCAAAGGATATCACTGCAGAAATGGTATCATATAATATAATAATGCATCAATCATGTTAACCGCTGCAATTTCCTTTGATTCTTACATTGGGTGAAATGAAATGACACGACCTGTGCCGTTGGGATTTTTGTAGTTCAACAAGGAAGCGGGGCACGTGGTTGAGGAGTGCAAATTGAGAGTGCTGTATGTCTCTCCGCCTCAACCTCCGTCTCCAGTCCCAGAAGGTTCTGAGGAAGGGTCATCCCCTAGAGGTTCTGTTTCCGACAATGGAAATGTCAATGGTGCTGATTCCGCGGCGGTGAGTTCTTCACTTGGTCCTGTTTTAGGTGAACCTTTGTTGTTTTTCAATTGAAGATCTGATGATATTAACTAGGATGCCTTTCTCTTTGGGTATTGCAGGTAACAAGAGCATTTGAGGGTCCAGAAAAATCTGCAGAGGTAAAGCAAACCAATCTTCTTTTTTATTTTTTTAAATCCTTTATTTTATTTATTTTTTTATTTGTGTGTGTGTGTTGTTGTCAACATTCCTTTTGATTTGTGAATGGCTGCTGTCTTAATGAATTAACTGTAGTCATAGATATTCATCAGGAAAGTATAAGGAGAACTGAACTTTGTTGTTTGAGCATCTGTCACTGTGTGTGTGTGCTGGTTATACAGTTGGAATTTTAGGCTGTTTTATTCATTATGTGCTAAACTGCTGATGTGTACACAGTTGTGTGTGCAAGTTGTTTCTGCTTCAGAGATCAGACTCTAAAGAATGACATTAAATGATTTTAACCAAAATTTCCTTGAGGTCTAATGATTTAGTTTTCTTGTAATATTTAGCCTTAGGGATAAGTTCATATTTTCAAGTACCAACATGTCATATTGTGTGACCTATCAATCTTGAATTAACAGGACAAAAGAAAACGAGAATTCTTTTGTTTTTTTGGGGGTTCCAGGCTGTAATTATTTTGAAAACCTGTAACTTCAGTTTTTTTTTTTTTAATTTTCTTAATATTATTATTATGTGTAGCAACTTTTTTTGATTGTAGTCACTTTTTGCAGGCAAAAGCTCTTATCTCAAGGCTGACTGAAGAAAAGAATAATGCAATTCAACAAAACAACAAGCTTCGTCAGGAACTGGTAAGAAATTTACAAAATATTTACTGATAACTTTTATCTCCCTGTCTGATCTGACTGGCCTGTATTTCTCCTCTTTTTCCTGACTGGAGAGTGGAGAGAAGAATTAAATATGAAATATGAAATCCCTTTACCATGAGTATTATCCCTCCGTAACTGGGCAGTAAACTTCTAAAACTGAAGGAAAGCACTAGAAATCATAGGAAGAGAACTGTCGAAAATTTGTTGGTGGATTGGCCTGGGTTCACAACTGAGCCTGGTGGATGTGGTGATTTTCTTATGAAGGACTTGCTTTCTTCCCTAACATGATAAACTCTCGTATAATTTAATTGGATGAGAGAAGGTTCTGTTTCTGGGTTTACATTTTCTCCTTATCCATTTGTTTTTGCTTACTTAAACACAATTTATGTTATTGTGGCAATGTTTGCCTTGGATATTGTGTTATTGTCACCTCTGACTTGTTATCATATACCCTTTCTGACTATTTATTTGGGAACCTACTTGAACTGAAAAGTAAAAAATGATCCGAGTTAGATGTGGAACTTGGAAATATTAAATGGTTATTGTCAAGGTAACTTTAGGAGGGATCTTTACTTGAATACGGTTCATTTGATGAAACATTTGTGCAGGACGTAGTGGTTATTTTTGCATCCTGTGGTTTCATATTAATTCAATAGTTTACCATTTTACCTCTTTAGGAACACATTTACCTGTTTATTGCTTTCTCACCTATTAATGTCGAACTTGAAAGTATACACAATTCAAACAATGTTTCGTTGTGCATATGATGACCATTTATTTTAATATTATGTAGAGTAAAATGCATACACACCCATTGAGATTTCATGAAATTGCATTTTTACCTTCTACTTTTTTCATCCCTGCATCAATTTTCTTAATTGTTTGAAAAACATTGCTCTGACACTCCTCCTTATACATTAGATTAACACACCCTTAATTGTTTGAAAAACATACACCGGGACTCTCTACGAGGGAGGTTGTTGTAAACCTTAAAATACCGGTACTTTTATTATATATACATAGACGAGTTTATAATGACAGACAGACTTGGTATGGTCTATTATTTGTATTAATTCAACTAAGCAACTAAGTATACAAGGTTGCTTTTGAAGTTGAACTGGGTGAAACACTTACTTTGATGATCTTATTATTTGCAGGACCTGCTGAGACGGGAAAGCAGCAAAAGTCGTGGGGGTGTCTCGATGGTCTTTGTCATATTAATTGGTTTACTCGGCATAATTATGGGGTATCTCATGAAGAAGACCTAAGTATTTCCGAGATGCGATCCTTCACCATACGTTTGATCTTAGTTTTCCTGTTGTTCCTGACTATTCAAGAAATGAAGAAAGGCAAAATAGATTAATTCAGCAGGTGTTGGTGTTTTTTTGGGGGTCGATAACAATATGGACGTAGAAACATTAGTTGAAAGCGTGGGTCAATGTTTTCTTGAAGAACAGATTACTGTGAACTGACTCATGCTTATGGGTAACATGCATTCTTTTTTTGTAACTCGAGGAAAATTTGTTGTTTTATATGGTTTAGCCAGTGACTGTCTGGAAACGTCAGCAATGACCACTAGTAGCATGCATATTAAGAATATCGGATATTTTGTTTATTTTCATGAGAATAATATTACTTTGTAGTTGTTAGATTTCCAAAAGGCGGATAAAAGCCCATTATTTGGCCTGGTCATCATCAGTCGCAAATGTTTGGTTTGAATTATTACTGAGGAAATAACTGTTTCTTTTCAATAGCTTATTTAAAAGTTGGCAAAAGCTAGCTATTATTTATCTAAAATGAGTTAAATTATTTATCTAAGAGGTTAACACAGTGAAGATGGAATGGTATTTTTGTAATTTATCAGGAATTGTTATTGAAAAGAACTAGCGGAAGTTCATATTTACCTAAGGAATTTATTTCATCCGCAAGTGTAAACAAGCAGCATAGAAGCTTGGGTGATATTGGGGATTCAAGTTTACAGGAGTTAGATGGGACAACTAGAGTACTCAACGAATATTAGTTTCATGAGAGGTGTTAGTAAATCTTTTCAATATCTTAGGAGTACTATTTGTGGATTATATCAACTTATTTGATCATATATTCTATTTTAGTGATACACAGTAAGGTTCGTATTCGCTCAACATAAAAGCTTGTTGTGATGAAGATAGTATGTTGTAAACACTTGAAATATGAAAAGAAAAAAAACAAGATATAAAGAAAGAAACGCGTTTTTTAAGAATAAACTAGATTACGCCTAAAATCATAATTGGATTCCTATAAGGTTTGCTTTTTAGTTCGGTAGTACATAGTAGTGCGATATATCATTCTGTAAACAAGTAAAAAATAACAATAATTTATTGAGATAAAATTTAAACCCAAATTTATTGAAATAATATATAGGTCATTCCATCTTTATTTAAAGGTTTTCACTGGATAAATGCGTGAAAACACAGCAAGTAATACCAACATTGCGCGAAAACAGTGTTCCGCTGATATTAGCACCTGTTTTCGGTGGTAAATAATTCGTAACGATACGTTACTTAAAAAATACATAATAGTAATATTCAGAAAAAAAAAAAAAAATGGGGTTGGAGGGTTTCACTGAAGAAGGTTAAGCGTAAACGCGCGTATTCTGTAACGCTCCTCCAATTCAATTCAACCTATATTCCTTTTGAGTAACGTTATTAAAGCAATAAATTTTTTGATGAAATTCAATAAAAAAAATTGACGTAGTGGATAAGTAAGAAGTTAAAGAGACGAAATTGTTCTCTTCATTGACAGAAATTACAGCAGACTCAGAGGGTAGTAAATAACATTTTTTTTTCTTCAAACGAACTGTCTTTAACCAAAGTTATAACAGAAGAATTGTGAATAGATGGCAATTTGCAGGCTTGATTTGGTAGAGTGGTGAATAAATAAGGATGAGATTGAGATGGTTTCCATTAGAAAAATGAGGAATAGTTGCAACGATAAAGAAAAGGATTAGAGGGCAACAAGAGAGATGAATTAATCATCATCTTGTTTGTCGTTTGGCTTCCTGAAAGAGTGTTCAAAGAGGTCGGCCATGACAA